TTTTTTTTTTTTTTGAGGAAAGGTTTATTCAGCTCATAGTTTGTAGAAGTTTAAGTTTATAATTGGCTGGCTCCAAGGCCAGGTAGCATGGCACAGGGGCATCACAGAGGAGAAACAGTTCATGGCAGGCAGAAGGCAGCAGAGTAGCAAAAAAGCAGCAGGTGACAGCAGCAGCCCTCTGTCTGTCCCTTGTAGTCTATCCATGCTGCATGCTCTTAGGGGCCAATAACACTCACACCCAAGATGGACCTTTCTATTGCCCCTACCCAGAACTATGCCAAATCAGTCAGTAGACTAACTTAGTAATCATGCATCCTTAATCCCAGCATCACACAATCTAGATCCAGCCACCTCTGAAAAGCCCCACCTGTGACCTCATGAGGCTTTGGGGGAACATTTAGGCATAAGCCATGACATTCTCCCCGACACACATACTCATGCATTTCCCTTTGTAGGCATTTAGTCCATCTCTAAGAGTTGCCAATGTCCTAACAGCTTCAGCCCTGCTGAAAAGTCCAAATCTAAAGTCTTTTCTGAGATTCAAGGCAAGCTTAGCTGGGAGCCCCTATACAAATGAAAAGAAAGTTAAACACTTCCAACATACCATGCCTCAAGAGAAACATTCCCACTTCAAATAGGGGGGGATAGAAAGGAATGGGACCAAAGCAAATCCAAAATCCAGCAGAGCACACATTAAGTCCTGTAGTTCCACATCATTGTCTGAGGCAAGATGTGAACTCCAAAGGGCTTAGGTGGCTCTGGCCCTATAGCACTACAGATGGTTGTAGCTCCCATGACTTCTCTCTTTGACTGTCTCTGCTCATTCCTTGCATGTTTCCTCAAACATCCATCTTCCTGGCTTCTCCAAACTTCTGGGGTCTCCACTATACCTTCGGCTTCATACTCACAGCTTCACAAACAGCTCTGTCAGGAGCACATTGCCTGCCCTTCCTGACCACAACTCTTTTTTTTCTCCCATATTTTTGAGACAGGGTTTTGCTGTGCACTTGTGGCTGGCCTTGAACTCACTTTGTAGCCCAGGCTGGCCTCGAACTCACAGTGATCCTCCTGCCTCAGCGTCCTGAGAGCTGGGATTATAGGTGTGAGCTGTCACACTCGGCTGACCATGCAGCTCTTGCATTCTCCATGCACCTCAAACCAGCATCATATGGATGATGCCAAGGTCTGCCGCCAATTGGAGCAGTAGCCAGGCTTCCTTCTTTCTTCGTTGTAGGGGATGAGTGCCTAAATCCCATGACCACAGAATCCAATCCTGAGGAACAGATTCTCTAGGCTGCCGCCATTCTGAAATGTGCTCTGGGGCTGTCTGCTCAAACAAATTCTTTCACTTTTGGAATCTTGAAGCTTCAAAGGCTGGAGTCCTATTTCCTGTAATGTCTGCAGAGATATTTTCTGCATGGTCTGGAAGAACTTTCAGGTCAAGAATGTAAGGGGGAAAAAAAAGTTTGGCCTGGTGGTGCACACCTTCAGTCCCAGCACTCAGGAGGCTGATCCAGGATTGCTGTGGAGGCCTGGGCTACATAGTTCAAGGTCATCCTGAATTGTAGAGCATGACCCTGTGTCAAACAACAACAACAACAACAGAATAATACTACTAATAATAATCTACCATAACATCTCTTGGGGAAGAATATTCCTTCACTCCAAGCTCCAGAAACCTACAGATTAAAATCCCAAGGCACAAAAGATTATTGTAAAAATAATATCAGAAATCAAACACACATAAACCATGGTACAGTAAGAACCAGGAGTAACAAAAGACAATAACCCATAGAGACTGTAGAAAACTTGTTTTATCTTTTTTTTTTTGGTACCGGGAAGTGAACTCAGGACCTTGCGCTTGCCAGGCAGGTGCTTATGCCACTGAGCTATATCCCTGGCCCCTGTCTTTTGTAATTCCAGTAAATTTGATTAAATGAAGGATTGAAATAGGAATATGAATTAAGGGTCTCTGACTCATGACCAAGCAAATGAGAAATAAACAAAAATAGAACTTGTAGTTGTAAAAGATTTATAGCTGGGTGGCACATGCCTGTAATCCCAGCACTCGGCAGGCTGAGGCAGGAGAATCGATGTAGGTTTGAGACCAGCCTGGGCTACAAAGTGAGCTCAAGGCCAGCCTGAACTGCATAGCGAGACTGTCTCAAAAAAAAAAAAAAAAAAAAAAAGATTAGACTGACATGAAATAAAGAGAAATTAGCTGAGCATGGTGGTGCATGCCTGTAATGCCAGCCCTTGGAAAGGAGGATTGGTGTATGTTCAAGGCCAGCCTGGACTACATAGCAAGATCTTGGAGAGAGACAGACAGACAGACGGACAAGACAGAATATGTGACCTGGAAGATAATATTGAAGATCTTGTTGAGAATACAACAAAGAGACAATAAACATAGGAAAGGTTGAGGCATAAAAATTGTAGTGATGAGTTTTAACATTGTATCTAATTGCAGTTCCAGAAGGAAATACATATGAATGAAGGGCAAATCAGAGTGAAACTGCAGCAAGCCAAAGACAGAGCAGTCTTAAAATTAGCAGCTAAAGTGAAACAACAGATTACTATAAAAATCGTTTTCTTTATTCTGACAACTGATTTCCCAGGAACAACAGCAGAAGCCAGAGAACTTTGGAATGCTATTTTCAGTGTACTAAAAAACTTGTAACTGTCAGCCTTGAAATGGCATGCCCAGTAAATCTTCGAGAATGACCATGAAATAGACATTTTCAGACAAAAAGTAAGGAAGCCAGGCATGGTGGCGCATGCCTGTAATCCCAGCACTTTGGAGGCTGAGGCGGGAAGGTAATTGCAGGTTCGAGACCAGCCTCAGCTACAAAGTAAGCTCAAGGCCAACCTGAAAAACATAGCGAGACTCTGTCTCAAAAAGACCAAAAAAAAAAGTTTGAGGAGCTTTTACTTATAACAGGAGATTCTAGAGGATGTAATTCATATAAAGAAAAATAATTATAAATGGGAAGCCTGAGATGCTTTTTTGGTACTGGGAATCGAACTCAGGGACCTTGTGTTTGCCAGCCAAGGAACTGTGCTGCTGAGCTATATCCCTGCCCCTTTTTTTGTCCTTTTGAGACAGGCTTTCACTATGCAGTTCAGGCTGGCCTTGAATGCACTTTGTAGCCCAGGCTAGCCTTGAACTTGTAGTGATCCTTCTGCCTCAGCCTCCAAGTGCTAGAATTACAGGTATATGCCACTAAGTCTAGCCCTGGGATGCTATATAGTGACCACAAAGTATTTTATTACATATATACTTAAATTTACATGTTAATATTATTGAACATTTATATCCTTTCTAAAATTTCAGTATTAAGTGAAGCTTTCATTATTAAGTGGACATACATATGGACATGTTTATATTTTATGTAGATTTAATTATTTTGACTAGAAACTTAATACACAGTCAGAATACTCCAATTGGTACATGCTGTAAAAAAATGTCTTTTTGATGGTACTTGTGATTGAACCCTAGGGCTTCAGACGAAGCTGCATCCCTAGTCCTTTTTTTTTGAGCTAGGTTCTTGGGGCTGGGGATATAGCTGAGGGGCACAAGTGCCTGCCTAGCAAGAGCAAGGCCCTGAGATGGATTCCCAGTACCAGAAAAACCCCCAAAAAACTAAAAGGTAAAAAAAAAAATTGAGCTTGCTGAATTTCCCAGGCTGGGCACGAGCTCAAAACCCTTCTCGCACAACCTCTCAGAGTGCTGGGGTTA